AGTTTTTCTCTAACCAGCAGATGGCAGAATTCTACACCTAACACCTAGATCAATATCCAGAAACAACTTAAATTAAATTTAGATAATAATATTTCACATGCAAGCTAATGGTGTAGTTGAGGAATTTTGTGGTAAACAGGTACAGAAGTACTTCATATCTCCCAAACTTCATATCTCCTAACACAGCATTAATGTATAGATGAGAAGTAAACAAAAAAATGATATTGTAACACCCCTGTGGACTGTTTGTTGTGGTTTCTTCCCCTTTTGGGGCATCTGGTTATATAAGCGGGCGTTTGTCACAGGATTCTCAGTTTACTTCGACTGAAGCGACGACTGAGTCATGCAGCTACATAGCATGGCCAGCAATGCAGTACTCGTTCCCATATCTCAGGGAACCGAGGTTACGTTAGTAACCGAGTACTATCTGCCCTATAAGTTCCTGTCTCGTGTACTCTAGTATTGTCGGTTATTGTGAATGTTACCCTGAGTGTGTGTGTCTCATCTACCCGTATCTGCCTTGTTGTCTCTACATTAAACATCCTTATTTGAATCCTTGTCGTCTTCGTCATCCTGCCTGCCTCCACACACCTTGACCGTGACAGATATATTATTTGTATGATTAAAAATGTATATATTTTTTACAATTACTCTTTCAATTTTGGGGTCATATTGACCCCAAAGACCCTTAGTGTAAACAGGAAACGAGGACCTTATGAGGGTTAAGTATAATTGTCTTTGAGGGGCTCATCTGGTATGTATTAGATGGCAGATGGTGAGTAAATTCAACCTTTGGATTACACCTTGGTTTTCACCTTGGGATTGTTCACCCAAAAATGAGAAGTCATTAATCACCCTCAAGTTGTTCCAAACCCGTGTGAGTTAGTTTCTTCTGCTAAAAACAAAAGATGATATTCTGAAGAATATTTGCAACCAAACAGGTAGCATTGACTTTCATAGTATTTGTTTTCATATTATAGGAAATCAATGGCTACCAGCAACTGTTCGATTTTCAACATTTCAGCAGAAGAAACGTACTCGGTTACTAACGTAACCTCGGTTCCCTGAGATACGGGAACGAGTACTGCGTCTGCTAGACGCATATGGGAAAAAAGTATTTTTCTCAAAGTATTTGGTTTGTGCAGTGTATTAAAAACGAACCAATGACTAGGCAGCGGAGCTGCACGAGCCTATGGCGACGAAGCCCGCCAAAGCCAGCCAAAGCCCACCAGAATGGGCGGGGCATCTGGTTATATAAGCGGGCGTTTGTCACAGGATTCTCAGTTTACTTCGACTGAAGCGACGACTGGCAAACCACCCAGGTCTGGGACCTGGGTTAATGTAAATTCCAATTGTTTGTACATGCCTCCACTTGGGGGATGTTTTATCTTGGTTTTGTATTTAAAGGATTGCAGCAAACGGGTCGGGGCGATTCTGTAGCCAGAAAGCCCGTAGTATGGAATTGTGTCCACACACTCAATACTATGTATTTTCCTAAAGTCAGGTATGAATCCTTTACTCTTAGATTTGTCTATGAGAATTTGATGTCTTGTATTGATTTGATATCTTTGAATTGGCTATGGAGATAATTGGCATAATACATATTTACCTGACTGATAATAAATTGTTACATTTGATTTATTCTGACTTA